TTCGAGGTAAATTTTTGCGGCCGGAGCTGGTCGTAACCCAAAAAGTTCGTTATTAGAGGCGTTCGTATCCCGAGGTACCACTGTACTAATGCAGCAGCTCTTGGGCTCAAAAGATAGGCAGATATTTTTTTGGCTGCTTTTTTTTTTTTTTAAGGTTATCGGGCACATGAACTATGTGAACAGCTGAAGAAACCTAACCTTGACTGTACTGTTCTCCATGACCTTTTCAAAGCTCTTTTTCTCAGCACCAGGTACTTGGTTGTATCTTTCTTTTTTACAAAAAAGTGGCTTTCAGAATATTTACTTTCAGTGGATCCATTCCAAATTTCATTTCATTTCATTTCATTTCATTTCATTTCTTTGCCACATTTATATAACTGCCACCAAATCTCTTTATGTGTGCCATGGAACCCTCTCTATTTTAGAAAGCTCTGGTTTTTTAAAAATAATTTTTATTGCTTTTTAATTAATAACAGAAAAGAAAAAAAGAAACACAAAACACAAAACACAAAAATAATAATACATTATCAAGAAGAAAAACATTAAAAAGTGCTATTACAAAAAAGTGACAATGCAACAAAAGAAATAAAGTTACAAATCTATATATATTTATTTAATGCAAATATTATTCAGATGCATATATATTTCCAAAACATTTATGTGACTATCTTTTTTTTTTAACCTACTGTATTTTGTATAAATGAGTCCCATATTTCATTGTACTTGTCCATACAAAGTCTATGTCTATAGGCAATCCGCTTGTAAGTGGCAAGTGCAATCAGGTCTTCAATCCATCAAATAAATGGGGCTATATGTTTATCTTTCCAATGCTGCAATATCAGTCTTTTGGCCATAGTAAGGGCATGGCGAATCCATTTACATTGTCCAGATGTCAAATTCCATGTACTAGGTATATATATACTTTGTGTGAGATGGGCAGCTATATAAATATGATAGATAGATAGATAGATAGATAGATAGATAGATAGATAGATAGATAGATAGATAGATAGATAGAT